ATGGTAGAGATGCCTAGCATGGGTGACAGGAAAACCCCAGGGTCCTGTAGACATACAGAACTTGCCAGAAATGTTGATGTAAAATCCTAGCTGGGTGCTGTCTCGGTCACTCCGGCATGATAAGCTAAAGGTCAGGTCTTTGTATTATTCAGGACTGGCTGACTAGTCTTTTTAATTACTTGGAGATTGATTTTCAATCTGTTACTAATATCGATGTTATCTTTTACACCATTTACTTCTCTCTATTGATTTTAGTTAATCACTAATGTTTTAGTTGATGACTTCTTGAACGTAGTGTTTTAGAGGCGATTGATTACCAAGATAATCATCATAAACAGGGCAAGGCTGGCCGTTCCTCACTCTGAATGCAGTGTAATAGAATTCTGTGTCCCCTGGGGATTGAGGTGGGGGGGGGGGGAGAAATTGTCCCTTACTCTGAAATCCACCGATGAGGTACCCACCCCCTGAAAGCTACTGCCCAGTGCCTCTGGGTGCTCAGGCTCCACTCCAGATCCCTTGAAGCCTACTGTAGTGTAGCGACGATTGCAGGGAACTTTGGGGAAATAATACTCAGAGAGAGGGTGTGGGGGCTTTGCTTCAAGATAATACCAAGGTGGAACATTGCTGAAAAGTAAGCCCCGTTTGAGTAACCAACAAGGAGAGATGGGAACCCGGGGCTTGTTTTCTTAATCTTCCTACTATTGTTGCATAGGCTTGAACGTTTCTATCGTGAAAAGTTAAATGCAAAACAGGCCAGACCAGAAGATGGACCCCGTTCATGATCTTTGCTACAGCGGAATGGGTGTCTCAGGAAATGCTGGCTGTTAAAGCATTTGGCTGGCCTTTGTCCCTGGTTTGGGGGCATGTGTGTGTGTGGGGGGGGTGTTAGTTAAGTCCTTGGAATTTCCTGAGAGGATGGACTGTCATTGTTATTTGCCTGCCTGCTGGGAGATGACCGAGGGTGGCCCTGGCCAATAGAAAGACCATTTGGTGATTGATTAGAGGGCTGAGGCATTGAGCTTGAAGGACCCATCTAGGGGAGAAGAGAGAACTGGGGATTGAGGTGAGTCCGAGACCTCTGGGAATCCTGCCGGTAAATGATGGTTCAAATCCAGCCGTGGTGGAGACCTAGTGTATCTTCTCTGCAGATGGGCACACACACAGCTGCGCTTCATTCAGGCTGGTGCACTCTTGTCCTAGGGTGGCCGGGCAAGGAAGCTCTGCTCCAGACCCTTCCAGACCTTGCCCTGTTTGTGTTTCTATGTTATTCCTTTTGATTCTTTTCATTTTAATAAAGTTAAAATCATAAATACAGTACTGTCCTGTCTTCTGTGAATTCTAGCAAATGACAAACGGTAGGCAGGTCACAGCCATTCCGGGGATTTACAGTTAGTCAGCATTGTGTAGAGCCTGAGGCCACCAAAGTGATGCTGGTGTCTGAGGCCAGGCACCACAGTGGGGGACTGGGTCCCTTAACTTGGGGTACCACATCTAACTCTTGGTGGCTGGCCTGGACACTGTGTGCGGGACAGCAGTTGCTATTGGGACAGAGGTGATGGGACCTGCAAGCTTTGAATAAGTCCTGCTGGGCAGCCTGTCACACACAACACACATTCTTTTTTGTTGTTGTTGTTTCTCAAGACAGGGTTTTTCTGTGTAACAGTCCTGATTGTCCTGGAACTCGCTTTGCAGACCAGGCTGGTCTCAAACTCACTGAGATCTGCCTACCTCTGCCTCCCAAGTGCTGGGATTATATGTGTGTGCCAACATGGCCCTGCTGAAAACACACACACACACACACATACACACACGTCCTTTTTAACAAACTACCTCATCTTCGATTTGTTTTGTATTTTCCCTGGGAATACCCACAATGTCAGTTAGAGACTCTTTGGAGATTCCACTTTGTCGTCATTCAGATAAAAGTCAGAATGGCAATTCAGTCGAGGCAAGCCATGCATGTGAGTATGGGAATGTGCCCTGTGAGTGCAAGTGCCCCCTGGAAGTCTAGAAGAGGTCTGGGGTAACTATGAGCCCCACTAACCAGGTGCAGGGGAGAGGAGGCAGAAGCCCAAACGCCGCCGAGCTAGCGCTAACAGAATTTCATTTAACCCAGGCTTGATTCACTGTGAAGCCGAGAGTGACCTTAAATTCCTGATCCTCCTGCTTCCACCTCCCAAACGCTGGGAACAATTTGAAAGTTTTCTGTGGTCTAGAGGAGAGACTCCTGGCTGAGATTGTGTCATGGTGGAAATAAGCGAATGTGAAAATGAAGGTTGACGTTAGCCTTAACTACATCTGGGAACATGGGGGGAGGGTGTGAGACTGCCAAGCTGATAAGAGGAAGGACAGGCTTTGGGGGGAAAACAAGGCTGGTCTTGGCAGCTCCAGCGGCCTGGGGAAGCCCCACAACCTGCGCTAGTCACTCACCATGCCCCATCCTCCCCTAGGACCTGGAATTGTGACAGACGGAACTGGTTGTAAAAACACCTTCTAAGAAAGCCCCCCACCTACCCCAGGAAGACCATTCCAGAGGGGAGGTTGAAAAAACCAAGGAAGTTACAGCCACTTCCTGGGACCTATGTCCCCTGATGGTCGGAATGACCCTTGGCGGTGAAGCATCCCGGCAGCCACAGATAGGCTGCTCCTGCTATACTAGGACTCAGCATTGTTACATCATTTACATTGTGGTTTTGGTACCCATTCCCTTCTGTAGACATCACGGGAAGAAGCATCCTCGAAGGGGAGACATGGCTCACTATCATTTCAGAGAGTATGCCACCCACCTCATGAATATTCAAAAACGGCTTCTTTAAAGAGCCGGCAGACTGGCTCAGAGGGTAAAGGTCCTTGCTTTCAAGACTAAACGGCCTGAGTCCAATCCCTGGGTCCTACGAGGTAGAAGGACAAAACTGCTTCCTGCAAGTTCGTCCTCTGACCTCTACGTGTGCACCCACACACAATAAATAAATGTCGGAAACGTCTTTACAGTCCTCAACACCGAGCCGCTTCCGCGTCTTTGGACAGCTCATTCCAGTCTGTCCTTGGACTTGTTCCTTTAGCTTGGCTTTGTTTGTGTCCCACAGTTCACAGGTTGAGAGCGCTTGCTGCTCTTGCAGAGAACCAGAGTTCGGTGGCAGCGCCCACACGGGCTCACAACCACCCGTATCTCCAGTTCTAGGGATCCAAGGGTCTTCTGGCCTCCTTGAGCCTGTGTAAACACATGGGGCACACACACACACTCAGGCACCCACACATACACATTTTAAAAAAAATCAATCTTGGGATTGGAGAGATGGCTCAGTGGTGAGGAGCACTTGACTGCTCTTCCAGAGGTCCTGAGTTCGGTTCCCAGTAACAACATGGTGGCTCACAACCATCTGTAATGGGATCAGATTCCTTCTGGTGTGCATGAAGACAGATCACGCATATAAATAAATACATGAATAAAGAAGTCTTTTAAAAAATCTTAGGAAGAGGATAAAAAACTTTTAGGCACAGGCGTTAGTTGGGGAAAGAAACCTTGAAAAGAAAGGTACACACCCAAGACATGGGTGTGAGCATCTCAGGAGAGACCTGGGCTTACTGTCAACAATAGCCAAGTGTATGTTTTTGGTGGCTTCAGAAGTTAGGTTGTTCAAAGTGTTTCAAAGGAACCTATTATTTCTAGTAAGTCAGAGCCTGGGGTAATCCTGAAGTGCGCTGGGCAGGATTACAACAGAGATAAGACAAAGTAGTAAGTCACAGCAAGGGAAGAGTCCTTACTGTGGGTGTCACAAGGGATTGTAAAAGAAGCTTATAATCTTGTTTGTGAGGGTCCAAAGAAGTTAGAGGGCAACTTTTCAGTTCAAAACATGCTGGGATCCGGGGGTGGTGGCACCTGCCTTTAATCCTAACTCTTGGGAGACCAAGGCAGGCAGATCTCTATGAGTTCGAGGCCAGCCTGGTTTAAAGAGCAGATTCCAGGTCAGCCATGGCTACACAGAAAAACCCTGTCTCAAAAAAAAAAAAAAATTGCCAGGCAGTAGTGGTGCGTGCCTTTAATCCCAGCACATGGGAGGCAGAGGCAGGTGGATCTCTATGAGTTCAAGGCCAGCCTGGTCCACAGAGTGAGTTCCTGGACAGCCAGGGCTCACAGTGAAACCTTGTCTCAAGAAACAAAACAAAACAACAACAAAAGCACAGAAACTAAGTTCATAAGATACAAAAATTAATCGATTCTTTAGCAGAACAAAGACCAATCTCTTTGGGCAGCTCATAAAAGCCTGTAACCCCAGTTCTAAAGAACCTGAAGCCCTTGTCTGGCTTCTCAGGGTACCTGCATGAACCCAGACACAGCTGTATAGACACAGATGTATGAGCATATACACATAAATTAAAAATCCCACTAGTTTCTTTGTAACTTTGGAGCCTTCCTGGAACTAGCTCTTGTAGACCAGGCTGGCCTAGAACTCACAGAGTTCTGCCTGTCTCTGCCTCCCGAGTGTTGGGATTAAAGGTGCACGCCACCACCACCCGGGTTTGTTTTTCTAAAAGTAATTTATTTATTTTATGTACATCAGCGTTTTGCCTACATGTATGTCTGTGTGAGGGTGTCAGATCTTAAAGTTACAAACAATTATGAGTTGCTACAGAGGTGCTGGGAATTGAACTCAGGGCCTCTGGAAGAGCAGTCAATGCTCTTAAACACTGAGCCATTTCTCCAACACTAAATTTTTTTTTAAATAAAAGGTTGACAGCAATTTCTGTTGTGGTTTCCTCTTGGGGAATAAACACACACTTCTAAATTTACTAAAGAAGTAGAACGTGCCAGCTGTGCGGTCTTGCAGGGAGTAACACTCCAGGAAACGTAAACAGAAGGTTGGGCTGGTCTGGGATGGCTGTGACTGCTGAGTAACTTTGAACTTTGTCCTATGAACCCAGCAGCACCTGCTGGGTGGGCCAGTTTCTAGTTCCCGATTTCTTTCCCGTTTTGAATGACTCAGACGGGGAGTCTGACTGCTTACTAGGCTTCGAGACCGATCACTTAAAGGCACACTCTAGCCGTGCAGGGTGGTGAGGCCTCATCTGTCCCTTGTCTGGAAGGCAGCCAGCCAATCAGTAGGTCTGGATGGCACTGTTAGGAGCTAGCAGTCTATACTGGGGGGGGAAGAGGGGGAATTTTAGAAGTGAGAGCTCCCAGCCTCTGGAGGCGAAAAGTGGGTCAGAAGTCACAGCTAGGGTCCATTTCGCTGCTGTCCCATCCCCTGTCGTTCCCCACTGCATCACCCCCCCATCCCGGCTATATTGGTGTTTGGAACTAGGGCCTTGAACATGTTAGGCTAGCATACTCCAACTAGTGAATGACATCCCCAGGTCTGTTTTATTTTTGAAGCAGAGTCTCACTGATTTTTTTTAGGCAAGCCTTAAACTCAGTCCGTAGCCCAGGCAGGCCTTGGACTTGTGAACTTCCTCCCTCAGCTTCCAGAACAGCAGGCCCGACAGGCCTACATCACCGGACCTGATTCTTCGTTTTATATTTTGGATTTCTCCCTTCCCATCAGGTAACTCCTTCTCTCTACTGCTAATGACGGCTGTGGTGTGTTGGGTAAGAATGGACCCCATAGGCTCATATATTTGAATGCTTAATTATCCGGGAGTGGTTTGAAAGGGTTAGAAAGGTTAGGAGCTGTGTCCTGGCTGGAGGAGGTGTGTCACTGGAGGTGGGCTTTGAGATTTCAAAAGAGCCCACACTGCTACTATTAGGCTCCCTCCTTTTCCCCCTCCCTCCCTCCCTCCTTCCCTCCCTCCCTCCCCCTCCTCTGTTCTCAGATCAGGATGCAGCACTCAGCTACTGTTCCAATGCCATGCTTGACGCCATGTTTGCTTCCCTGTTTCCTGTCATGATGATAATGAACTGACCCCGTGAAACTGTAAGCAAGCCCCCAATTAAATGCTTCCTTTCATAAAGGGTGCCATGGTCATGGTGTCTCTTCACAACCAGAGAATGGAGACTAAGACAATGACCCTCTATTCCTTCTTAAAGCAACACCACTCAGAGGAAATCCCGGCTCCCACAGCTCACGGTCAGCTGCTCTCTTTAGAACAGCTGCTTCTCCATGTCACACGTGTCCTGCCTGCCAGGCCCAGCCTTTGCAGGTCCCTGCTGTGAATTCTGCCTTTGCCTCTCCTCACACAATGCCACTGCTGCCTCACGGCGTCAGAAGGGTGACTTTCTCATCTAGTAAGTTTGTCTGGAGGACCATGCTAGTGAAAAAACAGCCCAGGTCCATGTCTGGGGGTGGAGTGGGGTTCTGTATCCTACAGGGAGGTGTAGGGAAAGGTGACTGTAAAGAAAACAGGCCAGACCGTAGCAAAATAAATATACGTGTGCTGCTCTAGCTAAGGCCCTGCGTAGGATCCCTTTGCTGGGGTGAGTTCTTGAGTCCCCAGAAGGCAAAGCTGTGGGAGAACATGAAGGTTTGGAAGTGAGGTGTGTGTGTGTGTGTGTGTGTGTGTGTGTGTGTGTGTGTGTGTTTAAATCCTGAGCTGTGGACTGGAGAGATGGTCCATCTGTTAAGAGTACTTCCTGTTCTTGTAGAGGACAGGACATTTAGTTCCCAGCGCCCACACCCTGCAGCGCACAAGTGCCTGTGACCCCAGCTCCAGGGGATCCACCTGACACTCTCTTGTGGCCTTCAGGGATGACTGTGCTCACACGACATACTCCCTCACACCCGTCCACTCCTGCGCAAACATAAAACCATCGTCATCATCACCTTCAACACTTGTGCTGAGGATGGCGGTTCATAATCGAAATCACAGCACTCCTCCGGCTGACATGGGGGTCCTGAGTCAGAGCCAGCCTGAGTTCATGGTGAGATCCTGTTTTAAACACTACCAATACCCTCACACTAAGTATGACTCTACCCAGAGTCCTAAGATAGAAGAGAAGTTAAGGTCCTCCCCGGTGTCGCCAGCCCAGCTACTCTCCAGTGATATGGCTGGGGAGAGCATTGCCTTCAGTTTCTCGTGGAGAAAAATCTTCCCTCTCTAGGTGTCTGCTTTACCCATAGGGATCCTTCTTGCTGAGGATGTACAGCCTCCACACCGTCAAGGCCTTTCCCAAGGCCTCTCAGAGCCCCTGGGAGCAAATCCCCACTGTTTAGAGCTTCAGTGACTCTAGGGGCTATAGCAGTGACACCCTCTCCACCCACATTACCCACTGGTGTCACAGCATCTGAGGACTGCACTCATCAGATTTTGTAAGAGTCACACATGGCTCCTCTGCGGTCTCTTTGAGGTGAGGGAAGAGCCTTTGTCCTGACCAGGACTCCTCGCTGGTTGATGTTCGCTACTCTTTGGTGCGCACCCAACATAATTTTGCTTTCTTTTAATTGGTCACCATGAATAACCTGAGCTGTCACCTCCACCACTGAGGGGGAGTCTTCTCCACTGCTGTTCTTACTGTACCGCTGTGAGCCCCCGCTAGATTAATCGTGTACCTGGTAACCCATTGCCTCTTTCTGCTGTTTTGTGTTCTCAGTCACCACCCAGCACTCTCCGTACACCTGGTGCCAGGATACTGGTCATGGCAGTGCGCCCATCTTTCTTTTTTAATTATTATGTTATGTGTGTCCCTGTTTTAGCTGCATGTATGTGTACCACATGCACTTCTGTTGCCTGCAGCGATCAGAAGAAGGTTTTGGATCCCCTGAAATTGAAGTTACAGATGGCTGGGAGCCACTGTGTGGGTGCTGGGGGTCAAATCCAGCTCCTCTGCAAGAGCAGCCAGTGTTTTTGACTGTCTTGGCAACTTTCCAGCCTGCCCCTCCTAAAAAAAATAAAAAAAAAAAGGTTTTGACATTTCTTTTGTGTGGTGTGTGCGTTTTGCATATGTGGCACTGAGCATGTGTAAAAGCCAGAGGACAACTCATCATATTTTTGTAAAATTAAATTAATTTGTGTTAGAGGAGCATGATGCCAGGGCACATCTGTGGTTGTCAGAGGACAGCTATGAGAAGCAGTTCTCTCCTTCCACCTGACTGGTCGTCGGAATCAAACTCAGGTTATCAGGCTTAGTATTACGTGCCCTTACTCATTGGGCCAGTTTTGCCAGCCTGTTTTCGTTGTTTGTTTGTTTTTCAAGACAGGGTTTCTCTGTGTAGCCCTGGCTGTCCTGAAATTCACTCTGTAGACCAGGTTGGCCTCAAACTCAGAGATCAGCCTGCCTCTGCTTTCCAGTGCTGGGATTAAAGGTGTGCGCCACCACCTCCCTTGAGACTCTGTTTTATCCAGTACTTCTAGCTGACTTTGAACTGTAACTTAAGACACCCTCTTGCCTTAGCCTCCTGATTGCTGGGATTGTAACCATGAGCCACCATGCCCTGGTGGAAAACCCAGCTTTTAAAAATAAGGAACGGTTTCATCTCAGTCTCAAGGCAGGGCGGTTCTGGGTTGATTCAGCATGTGTCAACTCTACGTAACAAACAGAGCAAACTTGGAGAAGAAAACAGGTGTATTCTGTTCCTGAATCTTCGATGTGTGCAGTTTGACATCGTGGGGTAGCTTGAAGGCTGGAGGCTAGAGCAGTCCTTAACCTGCCCCCCGCCCCCCGCCTTGCACAACCCACTAACGTGTGAACTGGGACCCACCCATACATCTGTTCGCTCTCCTTGCAGCAGGTAGATTTTGTCCGTGAGAGACTGAAGAAAGGACTGGAATCCAAGGGCAGCTGTCACAGCAGAACCAGGCAGAAGCTGGACCACCTTTTACAAACGGCACCTCAGGAGACTCTGTGCCACGCTGGCTGCAGTCTCCTCATTAGAAGTAACCAGGTAGGGCTGGTAGTGTACTCAGTCAGTTTGCTCGACAAGTGTGAAGTCCTGGGCTCCATCCCCAGCACAGCGTAAGATGGGCAAAGTGGTAAAACTTGCAGTACTAGTGATCTGGAGGTAGAAGCAGGGGGGTCAGAAGTTCAAGGTCATCCTGCTACGTAGCTAGTTTGAAGTCAGCTTGGGCTGTGTGAGACTCTGTCAAAAAAGAAAGAAAGGTCGGTGTATATATTCATAGAGAGGAGAATTTGATTCCCTTTTGATGGGAGTTGTGTCAACACCGTATGGGGTAGGTTCTGTTACCCAACTTTGAAGATAAGAAACAGGCTCAAGAGGTCTTTCTTGAACCTAGGAAACATTGTGCCAGGCGTGAAAGGACAGATACGGGATGGTCCTTGTGTTCATTAATTTTCTAATTCCTGCGGCAAAATAGCAGAGAGACGAAACTTCCAAGAAAAAGGGCTTATTCAGGCACACCGTTCCAGAGGTTTACTTCATCATGGTGATGAGGCTTGGTGACCACTCCAGCATAGCAGAAGAGTGTCACTGTAGCTCCTCAGACCTTGGTAGACAGAATTCTGGGAGCTCAGGTGCGAAGCAGGGCTGGGAGGCAATGCTCAAAGTCCCAACCCACAGTGACTCATAGCCACCAGCTAGTCCATCTTCCCCAAAGGTACCAACATTTCCAGGAACAGCCAGAAGCTGGAGCCATATTCAACACATGAGCCTGGGGGGGGGGGCGGCATTTCACATTCAAACCGTGACAGTCCCCTTTAGATGAGGTTCCTGCCACTTCATACAGCCAGAAAGTAGAATGGTGGACTCAGGGAGGAGTGGGAGTAGGGAGCCATTGTTTGATGGATACAGAGTCCTGATTGGGTTATTGAGGAAGTTCTGGAAAGGGATGACAGTGATATTTTCCCAACTTTGTGGGCTTATTGCAAGCAATTGTTTTATATATTTTGAAATAATTAGAACAGGACCAGGGAGAGGTAAAGGTGATTGCTGCCAACCCTGATGACCTGGGTTCGATCCCTGGAACCTACAAGGTGGAAGGAGAGAACTGACTCCTGCGTGTTGTCTTCCCATCTCTACACATGCAGGCACACACATGCAGGCACACACATTCAGGAGCTACCTAAATGTAAATACAGCCTAAACAATTGATGTGTTTCCTTACGCATATTTTGCCACAACAGCAACAACAACAAAAAATGGCAGATAATGTTAATAATATTGCATATGCATTTTTCAAAAATGGCCAGTGCCTCTCTCTGGTCCCACGAGCTTCTCACCTTTCCACGTCTCCATGAAGAGGCTAAGGCTACCTCCTCCTTGGGGAGTCTGGGTGGGCCTTTTGTGGAAATGCCAGTGTAACTTCTGAGGCTGTCACCTGAGGAGACAGGATTTCCCTCCATAGCTTGCTTCTCCATGTGGTTTCCTTGGAATTGGGATCCCACGCTGTGAGGAAGCTAAGGCAGTGTAGTAGGACATTTTCCCTGCCGCTAGTTCCCAAATAACCACTCAGAGACTTAGATTCATTATAAACACTCAGTTGCTAGCTCAGGCTTATTACTAGCTAACTCTTACATTTTATGCTTGCCCACATTCCTCATTTATGCCCTGCCACATGGTGGTCTCTTTATTAGCATGGCACGTTCATCTCCTGCTCCCTCGGGTCTGCTGTTGACGCCTGACTCTGCCCTTTTCTCATCATCATTAGGTTGGTCACCCCACCTATCCTTCCTGCCTAACTACTAGCCAATCAGTGTTTTATCAAACCAATTTGAGTGACAAATCTTTACAGTGTACAAGAGGATTATTCCATAGCAAGGCAGCCTCTCGTAGAGGTCAGAGGAGGTTGTTTTGGAATCAGCCAGTATCACCTGCCTGAACCTCAGTCTTTGGGTGGAGCTGGGGGGAAAGTATCAGCCCAAAAGCACCTTGCCATCCCCCTACCAAAAAACCCCCGTAACTACTAAGTTTTCAGGTAATTAATAACACAGTTGTTGTATCTGTTACTTTGGTATCGCTGTGACAGAAAGCCTGTCTTTAACCCCTTACAGGAGGGTTTGCTTCCGCTCACAGTTTCAGAGGGGCTCAGTTCAGGAAGGCCAGGAAGGCACAGCGGAATTCACCATTTCACTGGTGGAGGCGCCTGACGCCATGGTGGAGAAGGAGGCGGAGTGAGCCGGCCTTCAAAGGCTTGCCTCTAGTGATTCCCTTTAACCAGTTTGTTAGGTCCCCTCTCCTAATGGTTTCACAGCTTCCCAAAATAGCGACACCAGCTGGAGAACAAGCACACCAGCACGCGAGCCTTTGGGGGACATCTCAGATGGAAACCACGGCAGGCGTTGTGGAGGCAAGACCTCAGGACTAGAGATGACTCTCAAACGGCCAGTCCTCACCACCAAATGTGCACGGGACACACAGTTCTGCCCAGCCACAGGCACTTCCCCATAAATGTCCCCATTATCTGGACAGTCCCTCTAGTTAAAGCCAAGTTTATCTGCAGTTTCTGGAAGCCCAGCCCCCATGTGTGGGGGAGGGCTTCACCACGGAGTCATGATGACCTTGCATGTATCCAGGTGAATTTGAAAGGCCGTTTATCGAGTCTTGGCAGCACATCCTGTGATCTTCCTGGATGTGGGAGGCTGGGTGCCTTCAAGGAACTTCCAGGAGTCCTTCTGTTAGCTGTCATAGCTGTCTGGAGAAGCTATCAGACAGGTTCTCATTTCTCAGGGCTTCTGGGAGGTGGGAGGAAGTGGGGGAGCTTTCTGCCCAGGCTCTTCACAGCAGAGTTTTCTAATAATACCAGAAGCAGATTCTTACCCCACTGCTCAACCACGATTGTGGTCTTCAGGCCCCTTGAACTTCTGGCCTCTTCTGGTGTGTAAGGCAAAATTCAAGGAAATCTGGACTCTTTGGTTTAGTTTTGTGTAGGCAGGGTCTCTCACGAAGCCCAATATGGCCTCAAACTCGGTAGGTAGTTTAGGATCACCTTGAACTTCTGATTCTCCTGCCTCCAGCTTTTACTGCTTTTACTGCTTATGTAAACGGCCTCATCTGGCATACGCATCTGCTAAGCTACACCCCCAGCCTTGGATTATTCTTTTTGCTATCTATAGAAGTAATAGTATATTTTTATCATTACTTTCTCATTGCGCTGATTTATTGTATATGTATGGGCCTGGCCTATGCATTCATGTGGAAGCCAGAGGACAACTTTTGGGAGCTGCTTCTTGCCTTTGTTTATTAGGTTTTGTTTTTAAAGGCAGGGTTTCTCTGTGTAGCCCTGGTCATCCTGAAACTCTCTCTGTAGACCAGGCTGGCCTCAAACTCAGAAATCTACTTGCCTCTGTCTCCCAAGTGCTGGGATTAAAGGTGTGCGCATATGCCAGCTTAGTTCTTAACTTTGTCATAGAGTCTTATTCTGTTACTTTATGTGGGTCCTTAGGATTGAATTCAGGTCATTAGGCTTGGTGGCAGGCACATTTACTTGCTGAGTTATGTCACTAGCCCATAAGTGATGGTTTAAAATTCAGAGTGGCTATCAGTATGGCGATTTTTCAGAAAATTAGGAAACAACGTTCCTCAAGACCCAGCAATACCACTTTTGGGTATATACCCAAAGGATGCTCAATTGTGTCACAAGGACATGTGTTCAACTATGTTCATAGCAGCATTGTTTGTCATAGCCAGAACCCAGAAACAACCTAAATGCCCCTCAACTGAAGAATGGATAAGAAAAATGTGGTACATA